GTGGGACATTTTTTAATGAATTCCTCCCTCTTCATTAGGTAGCATTTAGCGCTTAAACTGAACAAAATTTGCATAGAACATTTAAGGAACAAAGGAAATAAAGTTGACTTAAGCTGACAAATACAATGGCGAACACTACTTAGCGAAACAAAAAAGATATGGTCTAATTTCGACAAAAAATCTATCAAATGAAAATATTGACCTTGAAATTTTGAATTTAATAATTTAAATGCATCCGTAACACCTTTGACGATATCGACTTATCGCTTACGCTCGTGGTTCCACTGCAATGTTTTGAGCATTTGAGTATACAGACAATGGCAAACCCGCTGTTAGAATCAGAAACTAAGTTTCAAGAAATTTGATTTTTTCACTGTGGCCGGCTATTCTCGATTTTGCTTGATATTACTGGACAGTCGCTCTTAAATTGTTATCACCATGTAGTGGTAAATTGTTTTAAACAAATAAACAGCAATGAAATTTAACTTTATTTAGTACATGCTGTTACACCCTTTTAGGATATGTACCAGTATTCAAGGCATATTTCAGCTTATTTCTATACACTTGCTTACTTTAATGCAACTCTTTGTCCTTAATCATATGATGCGATCTAGAGTACTGAAAGACAGACAAAAGATACGATAGTTTCCTACGAAATATGATCAATATACTTATAAAATGCTTTAAACTCTTCAAATAGTTTAATTTTATTATAAACTCAGAAAACCTCCTTAAACAGTCGATGTTACGAAATAAAGTAACTGTAATAGTTGCTTCGCAAAATAACTGTGATATAATTATTAATTCTTCCTTTTATAAAGCTAATATTTCATCGCGTGAGAGTCTGTCTTTACATTGTCTTTACGGTCTGTAGGTTCAGCACTAGTTGTGTACACAGTTAAGTGGTTCAAAACTTACTTTAATTATATCACAAACACCCTACCATAAGCATCAATGTACTCAACTTACCAGTCTGTTGTTTAGGTCACCATTTTGCACCAATTCCTAATGTTTTACATCTTGGAAAATCGTAGTCGACGTACCCCAAACCAGACTGCGTCTCAGTGTAAGGGAACAATCTCGTACCCAGAACCACTGTCCCTCTTACTCGCAGGCTCACAGGCTCGACGAAAAACAGAGACTCTGGAATTTTCGAAAATTTCTCGCACTCTGATTGGCTCATAAAATAAACAACTTGCCGCCGGAAGTGAAAATATCACCGAGAAAAACACTCAAATCATTCTGTATTTCGCTACCTCACCTCCAATTCTTCCTTTAAAAGCATTTTTTAAGTCTATGAAGTGGGCAGTAAGTGAGAGTAATATGATCAATTAAGTATAAAATGGAATACAGCGAGGCGACGAACTGTCACGCCATGA